GTTTCCTCTTTAACTCCCCCCATCTGTCTATTTTCCCCCATCTCTGCTCTCCTGGTTGTCCTACACAGTGTCGGTCCTCTGTATCAACGGTGGTGCCGGTGGCATGGTGACTGAAATAGAGGCCCAGGGCCTTCAGCAACTCAGCCTATCAGCACTTGTGGCCTTCTGCTTCAGCCCCAGTACTCGCACACCATCACAGCTGAGGAGTGCCACTTCAAGCCTCACAGTGCAAAACCCAAGCTGCCTCAGTCGCAGCTGCTGTAGCACCAATCTGAGAAGCCCGGCCATCCCCTCTGCAGCCACTCCCAACCTCCTGCCCTGCACCCTGCACCTTGCAATCTGCTGCCCCTGCTTTGCCCAGGTTGACCCTTACTATCTTCTTCCTTCCACTGCCCATGAAGCGTACCTGGCCTGGCCCTTTGTGATGCAACTATAGCCTTGAACAGGTCTCAGGATGCTTTGGGAAAGTCTCACACACTTTCTGGAGTTATTACTATGGTTGGTCACACAGTCAATCAGAGGTTTAGATTGGGTTTGGCATTCTATCAAGTCCTTTCCAAGGATCTAGGATAGGCAGATGTTGTTCACTAGTGTTAAAAGTATCATTGAAGGAGGTAAGCTGTTTCAAGAAAGCTGCTTTATATTATGGTTGGTCATACAGTCAGCCAGATGTTAGACTGCATTTGGCATTCTTATCTACCTATCAAGTCCTTCTGAAGAACCTGGGATAGGCAGATGTAAATATTTGCAATTCAATGCTTCTTATTGTAAATGTGAATTTAAGTATTTTGCCAGAAATGCAAAGAGAAAACTTTAAGGCAGCAATAGGCAGACTATGATTCTCCAGAAGTCACAGTTCACAACATTCCTTGTCATTGGCTATTGGAACTTTTGGAATTGCTTGACCCTATTCCTTAATGGAACCTGTGATTGGTTCTTGTGGTCAGCATCTGGATGTTCACAACATTAGCAAAGTGACTCAGAAGGCCAAGTTATTGTGAAGATCTACTTGTGTGTGTTTTTTTTAACTGAAACATACATGTGGAAAAGTTAATTTAGTTTAGAATTGACATGCAGTTAGGAGGATTTTAATCCAAAAGGAACTTTACTTGCCATCCTGGATTGAACCATAGCAAATAGCAAAGAACTACCGCATCCCCATCTTGATGTGAATTATTATTTTAAATAAAAATAACATTCGTGTTTGCATTCTTCCTAGCAATGGGGTATAGTTGTTAAAGCATTGGACTGGGCAAGAAAGATCCAAGCTGAAGTCTACACTCAGGCATGGAAAATCCCAAGAAGCTTTCAAGGTAGCCCAACCTTCATACAGACTTGTTGTGGGGAAAAATGAAAGAAGGGAACGTTATATATAAAAGATGTCCACTAAAACAGAATACTAATACAATATAAAATAAGTTGTCAATATTTATATATGGGGGGATACCTGGTTTAGAGATATATGCACCCTTTGGCTTTACACTCAATCCATCAGAATAGAGCTAGAAGGGATCTTGGAGGTCTTCTAGTCCAACCCCCTGCCCCCTGTGGTGGTGAATCTATGATGGCACGCAGAGCCCTCTCTGTGGGTATGCGTGCCGTTGCCCCAGTCCTAGGCCTTCAGCTGGGTTTTATAAAACCTTTTCGCTTTAGGCCTCCACCACTGTGTGCAAAAAAAAAAAGGTTCAATCAATCAATCAATTTCAACTTCTCATGGGAAAAAAATGATCTTGCAAAGTTGGAATTGATTGATTGAACTTTTTAGTCCCACCCATTCTGTCATTACCACTGCAGCCATGCCCACCCAATTGACCACGCCCATCCAATGGGCCACGCCTCCGGCACCCGACGATACATAAGTGGGTTTTAGCTTGCAGTTTGGGCACTCGGTCTCTAAAAGGTTCGCCATCACTGCCCTATATCATTTCAGATAGGTGGCTGACCAGTCTTTTCTTAAAAGCCTCCAGTGATGAAGGCCCTACAACTTCTGAAGGCAAGCTGTTCCACTGGTTAATTGTCTTCAGTGTTAGGAAGTTTCTCCTTAATTCTTAGTTAACACTCAAATTAGGTTTTTTTCCCCTTTGCTTCATTTTTTTTTAAACAAACATAATCTTCATGTCTGACTCTAGTGACAGTAACAGAGTTGAAAGTGAGGATATAATGGCTGGCAATAACTATTTCATATCATTGAATTTCTATCTTTTTTTTTTTTTTGCCAGTGAGAACAGTCAAAGGTGAGTTAACGGGGGATGGATTCACCATGTTAATGGAGAAACATGATTTCTCATCAGGTATGAGCTGATGTAGTGTCTCTCCTGTTTTAAAAATTAATCCCTGACTCCACCTAATACCAAAACTATTGAGGAAACAGACAAAAAAAGAAACCAGAATTCTTAAAATCCCATTCTTGTGGCTTGACCAGACTTCCTCCTATGTTTTGGCACACTGCACGAGCAGATTGTTTATCTACACAGCCGTTCTTGTTACTTGTGTAAACAAGGATATTTTCATAAATTTGTAGAAATGCTAATAAGCATCAGCAGCTTTTCGGGCTTGGAACGGCTTGAAGGTTGTGAGCAATGTTGATACAAGGCCAGGGAAACCAGGGGCTGAGAGAGCCAAAAGCAGTTAGCAATCAGTAATGGATGATCATGGAGCAGTAAATAATTAAAGAGAATTTCAACAAATTCAGAAAGACACACAGAGCATTTGAACTGCTAACAGATGACAGACAGCTGAACACAGACAAATGAATTGTAATTATGACTTTGACAAGCTCTTACAGCATATGACTTACTCTTTGTTCCCTATAAGACATGAAGTTTTTTTAAAAAGAAAAGTCAGAAGGTAAGCTATTTTGAACCACTAAGAATGATGTGAATAGAATGGGATTTAAAACAAGACAAACTAGTATATTTAACAATAGCCCTGTTGTAAGGTGTTATAAGCTTCATGAAATGTGAATATTGAGAGAATGATAACAAAAGAATATTGTTCAACTAGATATTTTTGTTTCTTTAAAAAAAAATCACAGTTCCCTGAAGCTTTCCAGTCTGACCATAACCAAAAATTAGAGTATATTCAAATAGATGTAGACTTGATTTAAAGGTTGTTAATTTAAGTTTTTATAGCAGAAACAAGATGAATTCTTGTTTCTATCAAAGACCATCACTTTATTTATTTCAAACAGCATTGCCCAGGTGATCTCTTGCATAAGGTCATTTACCTTTTTTAATAAATAATTTAAACCCCTTTTTAGAGAGTCAGTTTGATGTAGTAGTTAAGGCATCAGGCTAGAAACCAGGAGATCATGAGTTCTAGTCCCACCTGAGACACAAAGGCAGCTGGTTCACCTTGGGCTAAACACTCTCAACCATAGGAAGGAGGCAATGGCAAAAGTAACACAGGGATGTGTCCAGACATCCAAAAGTAACACAGGGATGTGTCCAGGCAATCACCAGGAGTAAAAAAAAAATCTGATTTGAAGGTACACAAAATTACTTAAAACCTTTTAAAATAAATTATACCTCTGAAATTGACTGATAATTGTAAAATGACTATACTATGAAATTCATGGTAGACTTTGCTCATAGAATCCTCCCCCCCTCAACTTATTTAGTGTTGTGTCAATACACAAGGTTGAATGGAAAACATCAAAGTTGAGATTTTCAAGAATAACAATTACTGGGCAAATCAAAGGCTAAGGGTGTGGATTTGTGATTGTAAATGGCTTACTAAACTGACAAAGTTTAAACGTCATAAAGAGTTAGCGATAATGAGTACTTTATCCAGTCATGTCTTTCTACTATTTACTGATAGATCCTTTATTGCTGCAGAAATGGTGCAACAATGAGCACAGCATCAGTCCAAATGATCAGTGAGGGATATGACCTACATACTTTAGTTTACAAGTCTGATTAAATAGCCACACATTTCACCTGGATTCCCAAAAAAACAAGAAAAAAAATCTATGTGAGCTCTTGATACTAGAGAGAATATCCCTGAGTTGGTTGATTCTTCATACTAACCACAGGATTCAAAAGAAACACTGTTGTCTGATTCAACATTGTACATTAAAGGTCTAAATCTTTGGACGTTTAGAGGCCAATGTCAACAGTCTCTTTCAAGCCCCCAGACAAAAACCCTGCTAAAACATCTTAGTAGCTGTTTCTCTGCTTAAAGCACACAAAGGAAGGAATAAGTTATGAAATAATAGACTCAACATGACCAGACATTTTGATGGAAAACCAGTCTAAGGTGACAGTATATGTGTTTGCCTGGTTGTCTGTGCCCACAGACACACACAGTGCATGACTATATCATATGTCTCAATAATAAAGGAATCTACTTTATATGCTAAAGATCTCATGCTCAGTTCAGTTATAGTTTGGATACCAAATTATCTTGAGGACTGTTTTTTTCCCCAGTAGAATCAGCTCAACCAACTTGATCTTGTTAAAAGAAGTAGTTGATGGCTCCCTAGTTTTGGGAAGGGAGGGGTAAGGTTCTGAGTACTGCTTTTCTGTAGTGCTGCTGGCCCTCCAGAATGGCCTCCACCCTTTTGAGCTGAGGTTAGTTCCAACCTTACTGCCCTTTGAAACCCTCCAGTACCAACTCAAAATGGAGCTCTACTGGAGAACACTTGGTCCTGATTCCTGCTTTTGGATTTTGGAGTTTTGTATGTTTTGTAAGATTTGTATTAATTTAATCTGACTGTAGATGTTTTAGGGTATTTTTCTGAACGTCTGAGAATCCTGCAGGATTGGAACAGGGAAGGAAACCAAGCCAAAAGACAAGCCTGGTGATATCTTCTGGGTGACATGGGTCGCCCAGACGTGGATTGTTGTTGCCCAGACGTGGGTTGTTGTTTGTACAATCTTTTGCCATTTTTGGTTCTTTGCTTTTATTATTGTATCATATTATTTTATGTGTTTTTATCTGTGAACTGCCAGTGTTAAAAAAAGTAAATAAATAGTAAATACAAACTGAAAAGTTCATACCTGAAACATCCACTGTTGGTTAGTATACACCAGCGATGGGGTATCTGTGCCACTTCAGATATTGCTGAACTATGGTTTTTAATGTCCTTCTCCATTATTCTTCCTGACTGGAACTTGTGGTTCAGGCATATCTGTAAATACAGTCTCTGAAAATAACCTTGTGGGGTTTAGAAAACATTCAACTACTATAGGTAACTAATGTTCTGATTTAGTGAAAAACAGATTCCTATGTGCCTATATCTGAGTGCTTCAGGATTCAAACTGAAACAAATGGGCTTTGATACATGCTTTGTACTTGTTGACCTGAATTATTTTAGGTATTTTCCAATGATTCATCCCATCAAACCCAGTGATGTGGCCTACACAAACTTAGATGAACAAGACATAGCTACTTAGCTACATTCCATTCTGTCAGCCATATTTTTTGGGCCAATAAAGACAAACTTGAATAAAAAGGAAAAGATGGAGAATGTAATTTGTTTTAGTCTACCCTGATCTTGTTTAAGCTAACCTTAAGCTTGCAAGCTTTTAAGAAGATTTTGCAAGTGTATTTACACATCAGATGCCTCTTTTCACCCTCTCAAAAAGCTAATAAAATCCACAGTCTTTCACAATCCTTGTAAAAAATTGTGGAATGACAGCATGAAAAAGAAATGATTCATTTCAATGTCGAAATATTCTCCAATAATATCAACAAGAAGGCTGTTTTTTATCTTTAAGTTGTGCTTTCCTGCTGCCATATATAGTTCACGTCATTAAATTAACTCTTTCTCATCTTTCCATTTTCTGAATGGTTGATGAATATTTCAATGACTGAACCGATATCTGTTTATTTCTCCAATATGATCAACTCACCCTGTTGTCTAAAAATAATGAAATCATAGTACATGTTCTGTATTAAATTAACCATCAGAACTAAAATAAAACAATGAATTAACTAAGACTCTCTTTCCAAACTAATTGGGGAAGATTGGTATGTTACAGCTTATTGCTTATTCTATTCAGCATTGCATCAAACTCTTATGCTTACTAGCAGCACAAGATTAATTGCCAAAATATGTAATCTATGCTCCAAATGCCAAGGACTGATCTAAGCTGAAGGTTGGGGTAAACCTTTCCCTTAAAAATTGTGTTCAGTTAAATTGGCACCATTCCCAATATGGACTATCCATATTGCCAGCTGACCAAGACAAAACTAAAAGACTCATGGAGTTGGAAGAGTCCTCAAAAGTCATCTAGTCCAACTCCTTCTCCATGCAGAACCCATTAAAGCATTTTGAACAGATGGTCATTTAGCCTCTATATGAAGCCCTCCAGTAAAGGGAATCTACCACTTGACAAGGCAGCTTATACCACTGGTTGACATCTCTTATATCCCCAGGAGATTCTTCCTAATAGCTAACCTGTATCTACTTTCCTTAGTTGTAGTCCACTGATTGTGTGCCTGCCTTGCAGGGTAACAGGGGACAAGGCTGCTTCCTTCTCTATAAAGATCTAAAGACTGCTATGGTCTACCCTCCCTCTTCTGCAGGCTAACCTAACATATCTGGTTTATTTAATCATTCTTCATAGGACTTGTTTCCAGTCCTTTCACCATTTTGGTAGTTAACATCTGGAAACCCTCCAGTTGATCAATGACTTTTTAAGGCTTCAGTACCCAGAATTGGACACAAGTAGAACCTGACCAAGGCAGATTAGAAACAGACAATTACTCCCTTTGATCTAGACTTTATGATTTTGTTAACATATCCTAAAATAACACAGGCTTTTTCAGCATCTGCCATTACACTGTTGGCTCTTATTCAACTTGTGATTAACAAGGACACCCAGATTATTTTCATATGTAGTACTGACAAATCATTAGATACAGGACTTCACATTTCTCCCTGTTAAATTTAATCCTGTTCATATTGGCCCATCACTCAAGCCCCCTGATTCTTTTTGGATCTTTTCTTTATTTTCTAAAATATTACACAATCCTCATAGTATCTTCTACAAATTTATTCAGTATGTCATTGATAAAAATGTTGAACAAGATCAGGCCCTGGGACACTTCATTCAACACCAGTGTCCAGTTTGCTGTGGAACCAGTTTTGAGTACTCTTGGAGTGGTTGTTCAGTCAATTTTCTAACACTTGTATCATTCTAACCCATATTTTACTATTTTATTAATGAGGAAACATGGGAAGCTTTGAATGAATTTGGCTCCATTCTAAATGTTCCTAGTGTGAAATTTGCAAAATACAAATATTATGTTTATCACAAACTTTGCTGGTTTCATTGTTTTCACTAAAAAGCTATAATTGTAGGAATTAGATTTATTTGTATTCTGCATAGTCAAGAATTCATAGCATTCCATCCAGAAGTTACATAATCATACCATTATACTGATGTCCTGAAATTTTGAAAAAAAAATATCCATACACAAAATAAATACCATCTGCTCTGTAAATATTGGTTAGTATTATTTCGCACAGAGAGAGAGAGAGAGAGAATATGTGTGTGTGTATATAATAATTGACCTTTTCATAAAATAATCACTTTATTTAGACTGGTGCAGTTGTATTTGAACAGTGCCAACATAAAATAGTTATTCAAGAACCATTGCATATTGGCTTTTCCACTGTATAAAACCTTATTCCCTTTTATTCATGGTTATGATCGCATAACTAAGAACACAAGGCTTTTATACAATGACTGTAATGAACAGTAGAGCTCTTCCCAAAGATAAAGCCACTGCTAGACACAACAGTTGAGCAATATACTCAATTATAATATAGTATATTTAATTTTATTTCAAGGTGAACAGTTATTGCAGTTTGTGGTTTGTTGTGCTTGTGATTTATCTAGTAAGTAAACAACAGTTAACATAAATAACACGTTAAGCAAATCCAGCTTCGCCCCCCCCTCACAAATATATTTGTTGAAAGCCAACTGGGAAGGTTGCAAATTGTGATTGCATGACCCTAGGATGCTGCAACCTTTGTAAATACATGCCGGTTGCCAAGTATCCAATTTTAAGTGAGGACTGGTCATAAATTACTTTTTTTCAGTGCCATTGTAACTTTGAATGGTTGCTAAATGAAGTTGAAGACTACCTGTAGAAGTCATCTTTATTTTTGAAACGTATCTATGATAGTTTTGCTATTTAGACTTTATTCTAGCAAAGGTGCTTGATCACTCAGGAGTTATGATATCAAAAGTTGATTTAGAAAGCCTTGCAGTTCATAGATTGAAGGTGACTTTAAGAGTGACAAATGTGCTGCCCTAAATAATAGGCTTTAAAACTTCATTGCAGTACTGAATCCTTGGCAGCTTAATCAGCAAAGGTTAGTTATTATTTTCCAGTATGCAAAAGATTGTTATAAGACTGGTAAAAATAATTTCAGGATGAACTTAGTGTGATATTATCAAGAGAGAATAATAAAATGGCAAGAGTGCACAGTGATCATGCCGCCTTTTATGGCTCTATTGGTGTGTGTTTGTGTGTGTGTGTGTGTGTGTGTGTGTGAGAGAGAGAGAGAGAGAGAGAGAGAGAGAGAGAGAGAGAGTAGAAGCAAGAAAAATATGCTCACTGTGCACGCTTGCCATCTTAGTATTCTCTCTTGATAACACCATACTAAGTTCATCCTGAAGTTATTTTTACCACTGTCTTATAACAATCTTTTGCATACTGGAAAATAATAACTAACCTCTCTCTGTGTGTGTGTGTGTGTGTGTGTGTGTGTGTGTGTGTGAGAGAGAGAGAGAGAGAGAGAGAGAGAGAGAGAGAGAGAGAGAGAGAGAGAGAGAGAGAGAGAGAGAGAGAGAGAGAATATGGATGTAAGAAGTGTCAGATCATCTATCTTGAAAACATTTGAAACAACCTCCAAAACTTTAATGAAAGTTGAAATGGTGACCACAGTACAGTATACAGTTCTTGAGGGTAGGAGGGAAGAAACTACAAAGGTGGGATGTCATGGACAACATTGTTTCACCCTACAACATTTTCTTAGGGACTCTGTTTTCTTATTCTAGGAATTAGAATTTTTGTAAGCTGCATATAATCACTGAAATTTATTATAGAAGAGAGGTAGGTAGGTAGGTAGCATGGCTGATTGGACACAAAACCCATTTTTCCCCAGATGATATTGCTAATTTTGAACTCTCTTAGAAAATCCTATCAGTTTATAACAGTTGGGTTTTTTTACTGTCCTTCAGAAGATATGATTTTATTTATAATAAAAGTGACTTCCAATCAAAGAAGCACCAGAGGCAATATGCCACAGAAAATGCTGGTTGACTATTCCTACTGCTGCTCTGTACAAGTTGCAGTTTTTTATCTATTCCAAATTTGTTTCTGTTTTCCTTTATTTCAATTGAAGCTATTTTGTATTGTTTTTGATTTCCAAGCAAATGATTACATGTCTGAAATTGGCCAAAAGAAAGCAAAACCTTTTGGATTAGTTCATGTAACTATCAATAATACTTTAAATTAACTAGTTATCCATCTTAGAGACTATGAGTGCTACCCTAATGAACCAATTTGGAAGTCATCATCATCTTAAGAAATTGTTAAGAGTATTTAAACATCTAACTTACAATTATCTGTTGTGGAAACTAATAGACTTTGGCAGAAGTAATATGCCCTCTCTTTTAATTAGAAAAGTTTCTTTCTGGCTTTCAGTAGGAATATAGTTAGAAACATGCAGGTTCATTTTCTTACGACTACTTCTTGTTGAAATTTCATTAGGTGTTTACTAGGTGTTTATTACATAAAATACAAGGCAAACAAAATGAGAACCAAAAAGCTTTCCATTAGAATGAAAATAATCCACCTATGGAATTTTTAAATTCTGCTTATTTGAAAGGCAAGAGATTTAAATCTCTGCTGAGTTAAAATTAGAGACGGGTTAATGTAATGCATAACTGAATAAGCTTATATGATCAACAAAAGTTTATTTAGTGCACAGTGTGATATATTTATATGATTCACCTAACAGCTCTGGTAAGAAAGGTTGTAAAATGGGGCAAAACTCACTTAACAAATGTGTCACTTAGCAATATAAATGTTGGACTCAATTGTGGTCATAAGTTGAGGACTACTTGTATGTATATATGTATGTGTATACATACATACACACACACATAC